TACAGTAATTGCCCTCATTACTGAAGGGTCAAGGGGACTGAGGCAAGGACCAACCACTTTACACTGATATAATCTATGCATTAGCACAACCCATCAAGTTCAACAAATATACAACACAAATCAACTCATGATTAAATTTGAGAAAGAGCATTCACAGATTTTTTAAACAGATAGCTAAAATCAGGGAAACAAATGTTGCATAGCTTGAGTTTGGTTTATTTGATTTCTTCAGATCTGTAGTGATATCACCTGAATGAAAATTATTTATCATTCATACATTAATCTGATTGATCATATTCCCCAAAAATAGCTCATGTCAGTAATATTAACTGCTCTTATGCATACATGAATGCCACACTAATCATTTAGGCCCTAAGTTCATAGAGAGAGTAAACTTAAATCCACATCGTCATGTATCAGTTAGAAAACAATGGCCTGTACAAATCAGTGATTTGATCTATGCCTTTGGTGTACAGTGAACACATAATGGTCCAGGACAGTCAGACCTTACATTGAAATCACATTCCCCAATTTTAGCCAGCTACCTGGTCCTAGAAACCCCACAGGGATGACTAGACAACCCCCAATCCAAGGCAATGTGACTATTGTAATACAGACCTCATCATTGCAGTGTGTGCCAAAGACTTTAGTGTCAACCAGCCCAAACTTGTCTCTTGGTTTTATTTCCAGAAGATATGTGTGTAAATTATGGTGCCGTTATTCAGCTGAACTCACTTGGCAGGGTTGTAATGACATTCTTCATCATGATATGATACACATATTGACGGTAAGGTAGTGATACAATATGTTACATGTAAACTTGCCATTTCACATGTTAGAGGACATTGCCATCATCAAAAGATGAAATTAAACCCAACATCAAATTATATAATAAGGGGATTTGAGTATATTGATGATACATGATCCTGAGACATATGTATGTTACGTGTACATAAATATACACTTGGTTTGTATCATATCGTAATAGGACTCATGATTGTTGTATTGTTTGCTTGTTGTTTAACGCTGCAATCAGCTGTATTCCATCTATATGACAGTCTGTAAATATTTGGGTCAACAATTCCAGTGATTGATACCATGAGCATCAATCCACACAATTGGGATACGACAATATGCATCAACCAGGCAGAGCTCCAGATAAGCTTTTGGTGTTGTGGGTATTTTACCCATGCATTTTAAAATCATTGGGTATCAGTAATTCTATCCGGGTATTCAAATTTCTGTTACCCACTAGTTTTTACACATGTGGGTATTTAAGTTTAATATTTAAAAACACTATTCATCTAGTTCCTGCAAACTGGTGTCGTGTGGGTTCAAGTGCTTTATCGGACTCAAAAATACCACGATACTTCCACAAGAAAGTGTGATGGCAAATGATCATGATGTAACTGTCATCGTGGAGTTTGGCAAGGTTGACGGAATGCCCGTTTATAATTTCAAAATAAGTTGCTAATCGAATATGCAGGGTTAATTCACAATATACCACGACATAATGAATGTTCAGTGAATCATTACACAGCTAATAGAAAGACAATTCTTTCAAGACTAGGTTTGGGTTTGTGACTAAAGTCTCCAAATAACTATCGAAACGAAATAAACGGTCAATATCCTTCTTTGACCCTGGAACATCTTAACATCCTGGTTCAGAGAAGATGTTCACTGGCAGCTTCTTACTAAGTCAGTGCATCATATCACAATACTTTTCAGTCCAGTAAGAACCAAAGCATTTACTTCCGCAGTCCACACCATCTAAATAGTTCCCCATTATAAGAATCAGCTGTTATCTTGTTATACACAAATCAAGACATTTCAGATTCAGGCAAGTCACACCCATCACAAAACACATGTAAGCATTTTGGTAAAGCTGTATGCTTGACTTTCACATCATGGGTCCAAATCCCACATAAATGTGAGAAGGCAATGGATGTTCAGGATTCAGTTGCAAGTGTATTTGCTCTCAGTGAACAAGGACTGGGTGTTTTTTCCCCACATGGATAGACTATGTGAAACTTACTGTGGATGTTCCTTACTGCGATGTGACTGTAATTTCGCAAGAATTATAAACTACAACTTTGGTGCAACGGTTCCCTTGTTAGCAATTTATGGTTATTGCATATCTAGTAGCAATTACAACATATGGTTTAATTCTGACATATGAATGTATGTTAGTGTTTTAGCCTTTTAGAATGCCATAAATCCATGGACAACCTGCACAATTTCAACAAAAATGTCTGTCAGTATGATGAGTTTAATTTTTACATATATATATCGGTCTGTACCAAACACTTTTGCATATGCTAGCCTTTGTTTTTTTTGAATCATTCAAATTGATTTAACTGTTAACTTAACATATGGACTACCGGTATGATCAGCAAAGGTTTTAAGCATGTGTCTAAAGTCACAGACTGATACATGTGCATTTTGCATGAGATAAAATGGTTCCTTGCAGGTTCATTTTCTAAAACCTATACTGATTGTCCTCCAAAATAATTTTTCAACATTTGGTCATAAAATTGGATTATGTCCTTACAGAAGTTGATGAAATGTCTTATTGCCATGTGTCTCAGCAAATTAACTGTTTTGATAATATTATCCACACTACAGCATAAACGACAATTCCTTATCTACCTGTGTTTTGTCAAAACTGTAGAGTAGACAAGCGCTACAGTGCTAACATAAGAACACTTTTTTATCTCATTATAAACAATATGCCATTTCTTGATACATTAACTTTCATTTTAATCATAAAATTACTGTCAACATTACAACACAGCATCATATTGGCATATATATGTGAATCACACAATTCAGTTTTGTGGTTTCTTTTTCATACCTGCCCTAGAAACTGACATTTTAGTCCGCTAGTCCTCACAATGATAACATAGCAAAACCCTTAAAAATAGAAAATTTCTACTAGTCCTTATGATACCTAACTATTGGGCTGTTTGGCCAGGACTAATGCCAATTTCTAACATTTCTGCATACACCATAATTCTAATTTGGACAACAGAATCTGGATCTTAAACTATGTGTATACCACTAGTTTTTGCAGATTTTGGACCCGGACTTTCACTATTCTTGGATTAGGGGACCAACTATCCCTGTATACTGTTTATGTGGTGATATTAGGCATGTTAGATGGAGGAATCATTAAAAAGCTTCTTGTCAGCTTTGAATTAATATTTTTCTTGATATGACATTATGCAGCCATCATGATGTTTCAATACACATGAAGATACAGTGAAAACTTGCACAGTTCATGAATGAGCATTATTGAATCATGTATACATGTTATACTCAGGGACATCATGATTCATGACCACAATGCTCTTAGTTTCAAAGCAAAACAAAAAGTTTGATACAGCATACATAATCATAGTCAACCTCAGGCATAAATGTGACTAGTTGATCATACATTGACAAGTGGGTTGAATTTGTATTGAGGCATAAAATAATGAGAAAATACAATTCAACCATCACTGGTGCTACATTTAATTAGGATAACAAAGATATGAGAGAAGAATCTTGTATGTGATGTTCTTTATGACCCAGCTGATAGTCGTGCAAAATAATAAATAAAGCAAGTGAAATAAAAGTTAACATTCATTCGTCTATGTAAACTTAACTGAACAATAAACAGACTAACAATACTAAACATAAAGAAACATCTTTGTGTCTCAACGTGGCAATTCATGTCCATAGTGACACTATCACATTCCAATGTACTCCATATACACATGTCGATGTTGTTTACAAATTAGCCATGCAAAAATGAAGTAAATTAACAATACGTATGAACGAAAGCACACCACATGAACCTTTTAATTAAGTTGACAAACATGATTTATAAAGGACTAAAATGGAATGGGAGGGATATCCCTTGAATAATCTAAGTTGGCCTGATACCAAGCCTCAGAATCGGCATGTTTTGCAGCCTACTGCCCATAACAGTACTGAACATAACGGCTCCCACGGAGCGTGTTTTTACACATATCGACATACTTTTAACACACAACGATACCCAAATGCATCATGTTTATATTGGAGAGGTAAATTCTAATTTCTAATGACATTTGTGGACCTTACCGTCAATTCCGTGCTTGTAGTATCTCTGCACGTCGGAGAAACAGCTCGTATAACTCCTGACCGCCATTCCCAGTCACCTATTTTGCTAACTTTTAGCTTTGTGAGGCTTCTGACTGACAAAAACCGCTTCCCAACTAGTTCTTCCCTGCATTTAAGCGCCATTTCTTCCTTCAAGTATCCATTTTTATCGTTTTGAAACCGAAATTTGGCTAGAAACCTCGGACAAATTTCCGTGGAATGTCTGCACTCTGATTACGCTGAGGAGGAATACATAACATTAATTTGACATCTGGTGGGTCAAAAGGTCAAATCTAGATCTTCTTCCGCAAGCAAAAATAGTCCCTGTAGTTTTACTGCCTAACTTTACTAATGGTTGACACATGAGTGTGTATTTGGGTAATTAAGTTATATATACTCATCTGGCAACTTCTTGTTGTAGTTTTTCTATAGTTGTTTCCACATAGTTGATAAATAATTTCCAAAGCTTTCAGGTAGAGAAAGAGTCACGTGCGCTCATGAGCATTTACTCCACAATGTTTAGCTCCTAATGTATTCTGTTTTCTTGAGTGAAAGATGTTGAGTCTGCTTTGACTAACATATGGAGTGTTTATTTTTGTTGTGTATAAAGAGAAAATGTTAAAATTTAATCAAATAGTCCTATTCTTTTGATAGGTATGGGAAACTGTAATTTTTTGTCCTACTGTCGAGCATTAAAGAAGATTAATTCAATACTGATAATATATTTCTTGTTTAAGTTGTTTATTTGTAAAAAAAATGCCTTTTACAAATATTTATCCATATCGATTTCATTTACACGAGCGACAATCTGCGTGAACATGTGCGTGCACATGTCTTCTGTGTTTTGATCACGTGACACACAATATTGGTGACGTCAGCAGTATGGCCGCCATGTTGTAACTTATGAGCTTGGACAGTAAACAAGGGCGAAAGATGCTTTTAATGCTCGTCCCCTGGGAGTGTCTGTGGATTTTAAATAGTGTAATTCATTAGAAAGATGGTGTCTGTTATCATATCTCGTCTAGTCATGTAAGTATATTTTGTTTTAGAACTTTACGAGACATTCGAAGAATCGTTGAAGCTCAGTGGTCAACCCGAAGGGCTTCCGGAAATGGATTCATTATTTTGAATATTTGAATGATAGAAGGCCTCTTATGTAAATATATATAGCATCATATTGACTGCTGTCTAAGTGTTTACGGTAATGTACCTTGGAAACCTGTTTATTGTGTTTCGTGTACCATTTTATGTAATGTATTAACATGACTCATGATCATTGATCTTCCAGTTCAATGCTAAGTTAAGATAAACAAAACATCTTTTTCATGTGAAAGCCTTCTCCATGTCTGCTATTTCCACGGAGGCTTTCTTATATTTTAACAACTTGTTGTAAAGACGTGTATAACAAAATTGAAAAGAGAAAGTCAGTGTCAGTTGCACTCAAGGAAACCTTGTTGACTGGCTCTCTCAGCTAATCTAGGATTAAGTGAGAATTGTGTAGCCTAACAGGCTTGAATAGTTAATCCCTTAATTCCTATTAGCTGTATTTGATCCTGTTTATGGATAAAGCACATTAGAAACACACATTTTGTGAAAACAAAGGTTCAATATTTATAACTTTGTTTAAGTTGTAACAATATTACCTGTCTTGCCCATTACATATAGGATAAGGCTACATCTTTTGGAGGATGTAACCTTGCAGTTTGCATTTGATGTTGTGAAAATGGCAATCTCATAAAAATGGGTTATAGCTAAAACGGCACCTTGTGAAAATGGCACTGATTGGCGAAAACGCCATCTCGCCTCAAGCGAAAACGGCTACTTTTGCCTGGCGAAAACAGCACCCTATTTTTTTTTAAATTTTGGTAAAATAAATGAAATTAAACTTACATTGCAGCGTTAGAAACTAACAGTTTTAGTCCACTAGTCCTTATAATGATAACATATAGCAAAACCCTTAATAATGGCAAATTTCTACTAGTCCTTGTGATACCTTAACTATTGGGCAGTTTGGCAAGGACCACAGGACTAGTGCCAATTTCTAACGCTGCATGGTTGCTTGCAAACACCAATAATAGTGAAATGTTAAAACAAGTTTACATTAGAAATTTGCCTCTAGTACAACTATATTCCACCTTAGCCTTTACGCAACTCAACTTATTGTGAAAACATTACATGCCTTGAAGTAAAATAAATGAGATTAAACTCACATCATCTCTTACAAACACTAATTATGATAAAATGTTAAAACAAGTTTACATTAGAAACTCTACAATTTACTCGCCGACTCTGATTGGGAGGCGCAACTAACTTATTGTGAAAACATTATATGCTTTGAAGTTAGTAAAAAATAAAGGAAATTAAACTCACATCGTCTCTTACAAACACCAATAATTGTGAAAACTTAAAACAAGTTTACATTAGAAATAAGCCCCCCGAGTCAGCTACTATCACAATGCTTGGTGGCACATGGGCCGATATTGTAAACTGTGATGAAGATGAAAACTGTGAAGAACTGTGTATATGTGAATGTATGTAGTTATCTGTGAACAACTGGGAAACAGGAAAAAAACATGTAAATACATCAAATAATATATAAATATATATACTACTACGTAAATCGTTCTTATCGTTATTAGAAATAGAGGTGCCGTTTTCGCCCGTCACATAGTAGCCGTTTTCGCCAAATGCGGTGCTGTTTTCGCCAGAGAAATCGGTGACGTTTTGCTGAGGTGCCGTTTTAGCCTGCACCCCATTAAAATCAGATCTAAGTTCTCACTTCTGCTAAACAACTATCTGAGGACATCCTATTACGGGTCATAATAACAAGTAGTTGATATCAGCCAATGAGAAAGCAGATTTCTCGAGCTGTACGGCATACATTGCAACCTGGCGACTTCTTTTTAAGACTACGTTTGAAAAATATGTTGACACAGTTTTGGTTAAAATTTTAAAAACTGAACAAACAGACATTCCAGAATGCCTAATATATTCTTGTGATTGTATGGCAGTGCTTCCCATGTACTGTGCAACTTTGATGGAATCAGTTGTATAGACAGTAACTGTCATTCGAAATACCCCGTTTTAATGTTTTCGAGGCTGCATGGTTAGAAAAAACACATTCCGACTGTCACTTTCATGATCTGGTCTAATGAAAGGTTGTTCTGATGTGACCCTTAATGGGATGTCCTCAGATCTTTGTTTAGCGAAAGCGAGAACTAAGATATGATTTTAATGAGATTATGAAAATGGGGAATATGAGACAGGACTTAACCTGTAGATTTCATGGTTATTTTGTTTTAAGTCTATGAGGAGAGGAATCCGTGATTGTTGGTACCATTTAAACAAACCTGTTGATTTTTTATTCAGCACATCATATCATGTGTCAATGCATAAGTACAGGATTCTCAAATCCTACTTGGAAATACTTGCACCCATGGGGTAACTTCAGTAATTTTGTCCCCAAACTGGAAGAACTGTGTTAGGTGTGTCAGAAATGTATGATATAGGGTATGAATCCTGGATTCATCCTGATTATCTTCACAGGTGTGTTAGCACCAGACCCAGGGTCATGGGATTTGCCAAGGTGGGTTACGTCTAAGAATTGCATCACTTGGGCCTTTCCTTCCACCATGTCCACACTAAGTTGACAGACTGTGAAATAACTTTTCAAGAAGTGTAACCAAAACTCACCAACCCATGCTTGCTCATACAAAATGTCAGTTTACGCCTTTTTCGTTTTTGACATAGGTTATTTCTCTTTCACCAAATGTCTTATTTTTGATTATTTAGTTTAGAAAATTGATTTTGTTATTGTAAAAGTATGGTACTGACCTTTAAAACTTTTTACCTAGTGTCACTTAAGTTCTCAGCTGTTTTCTTTGTGAGTTTTTCCCTGGCATTAGGTTTTTATGTTTGGAAGTTAAATAGTCAAAAGTTCCTATTCAACATTTCAGGGGAGAAGCACTTTGATTAGTTAGTCATCAGATTCTGACACTGATGATCAAGACTAAATACTTTCCATTAGTTGTGGTATAGGGTAACCAAGCAATTACAGTGTCTGTGTGTCTCCATCTCTATGTGTGAGGGAGGGACAAGTGAAGATTAATGTTATTTTGACAATTGGGATTTCGTGAACTGACCATGCTGATGTATTTGCGATAGAACAGCGGTAGAAACTAACAGTTTCAGTCCACTAGTCCTTATAAGAATAACATATAGCAAAACCCTAAGAAATGGTAAGTATCTACTAGTCCTTATGATACCTTAACTATTGGGCAGTTTGGTAAGGACTAGTGCCAATTTCTAACGCTGTTAAAATATTATGAATCCAATTATGTCTTGTCCACCTGTAATTTATTGCCTAAGGGACAGATACTCCAGTGTTTGAAAGTAGTTGATACCCATGTTGTCGATGTAAAGTGACCTGTAATCAGCCAAGCCACAGAACATGACCACCCCATCCTCATTTTGTGCCAGTACTTACAACAGACCTGAGGTACTGGTGACCTTTTCTGACCTTGAATCTCCACGGGATCAAATTCATTACTTAACTGGACTGAATAGTAAATTCCAGTGATTAAGTGCTGTAGTAGAAGGCCTCACCCACCCCCATCCTTAGTTTCAAACACTGCTGTTAGAAATTAAGTCATGGTGTCTACTTGTTTGACATGCCAAATAAGAGACAAATAAGTGAACTGCCTGTTCAAGAAGGAAAGGAAATGGTATTCAACCAATAAAATTACAGTTTTCAGAGGCTGTTGGAAGGTTTTCAATGTGAAGGTCTTTGGTGTCCATGTTCTACACATGGTAAATGGATATAATCCAAGGGTTCTTTTTATATGTGCATGGAGCTATGAGCATGTTACTGTCAATAGTGTCATGGATCTTCAGGGTTAGAAATTAAAGTTCATTGTCACTAATCTGCAAGAAAGATCTGCTGTATTTACCTTATGTAAAAAGTGGTATTTGACGAGCAAATATCTTCCTGAATATCACCTGGTAGGTTGATTTCAGATGGTTTTCTGGTCCTTATGATATCTTGTCTATTGGGCAGTTTGGCAAGGACTACATGACTCATGCCAATTTCTAACACTGTCACAGAGTCTGACCATCCAATTCATTGAGTCGCCTCTTTGAACCAGCATAGGTTGCTGGGGACCAATTCTAACCCACAATCCCCAGGGGCTCCCAGTTTAGTCACGTTTTACGACTAGCAGTGAATTGCTTGTGGCACATACTAACCCGGGTCCCAACAGGGTTTATGTGTACAAAACTATCAGGGTATTCAGAAGTATGTTGTGTCATAGGTCATGCAAGCAAAATGTTAGTTCTTAATATATTTAATCAGGAGACTGTTGTATTTGAACTTTTGTTAGGTGAGTTTTTTTAATTTTATTTGAGACTGCAAGCAACAAGGCAAGTCATGTAATAGTGATATAGTCACATTGTTTAGATAATGAAATTTGATTAGAAGGCTATTTTAAGAATCGTGTCATTCAAACCAGACTCAAATAGGCAATGGGTCCAGGGTATGTACATTATGTGTATCATGATAATAGAATTGAGATGTAATCATATAATACACTGGATAATCAAGGTCTTGAACCATTGATAAAAAGTTTCCTGCAGGGCATGAAGATGAGGATGGACTGGAAATGATAAATTCAACCATTTTGCACTGTCAACAGAACTCATTAATTATTACATTTTCATCCAAACCAGTATCAGGACCAAACACCCAACCTTACATCACTATACTGTCTGTTCCTAAGCACATGTACCTACAGAGTATTGAGTATGAGTTTGGCCTTGTTGCTTTACTAACTGCAATTATTAAAATAGCAATCCAGCATTAGAAATAGGCATTACTCCTAATGTGCTTGTCAAACTGCCCAATAGTTAAGGTATCATAAGGACAAGTAGAAAATTGCCCTCTTTAAGGGTTATGCTATATGTTATCATTTTAAGGACTTATGGATTAAAACTGTTAATTTGTCATGCTGCAATCAGTGATAAGCTGAAGGGTA